ATTAAAGTTATAACAAAAATCTCTAACTGCTTAGAATATAAAGTATTCCAACAGTAAAATCTTGACCTTGAAAGCATCCATTGAGTAGTGTCCATTATAAAATCAGTCTGGTACAATATTTATGCAGACCTCTGGACTAACATGTTGAATTAACGATAATGAGTGATTGTTAACAAATACAGAAGGAAAACAACTGACAATAATGTTGAAAAACGTCACAGCTCACAGTTAAACAAGACTAAACTATCTAATCAGAATGGGAATTGTTGGAACTTATAAAGATGTTCAAGAAAATATTCCATACTTAAAATACTGTAATGACCTTGAAGTAAATAATGAAGCTGAAGTTTTACTTTTTGTTATTTTGATTTGTGTCAAGGCAAAATCACCATCACGTAAATTAAAAGCATAAAATGGCTTCTACGCCAATCAAAACGCCAGTCACTCACACAAACAAACACACCAATTATAAGACTTCCGCTCTCACAATGAATTCATTCATTGCAAGAAATGTTGATCTAGCTGTTCACCATTGAAAAATAAGAGATCTTTCAGAAATGTCTGTTTGAAGTAGGAGTGCAACATGTAACTTTCTTTAAACATCAAACCGTTTGAGAAATTGAAAGAGAATTGATAGAGGATAAAGCTAAATATTATATTTTATTCCACGAGATTTTAGTCTAGTCTATTACATGATGTTAAATCTATTTGCTTTCAGGTTTTTTTTATCAAACAAAACAATAAAAGAGTGTACGTACATTTCCTGGGTTCTTGTTATATTTCTCAAACCATTTTATTTATCTGATTTCACATCTTAAAAGAAAACTGAACGAGAATACAAAATAAGATAAACTATGCTTTCCTGTTTCTTGAACTAGTTAAGTTTTTTTTAAACAACCATTAAGATCTTTTTTTTTCATGTGTGGATTTGAAGCTTTAAATTCAAACTTTACCATTATTATTCAAGTACACTAACAAAAGAAATGATAGCTGTTTTAATGTTTCCCTTAACCTTCAGTTAATAATGACAGATATGCGTTAATAGTGGCAGATCTAGCCAGTACCCCCCCCCCCCCCCTTGGTTAAAGAATTGCCTTTGATCGTGGCAAAATGGTGAACATCTCCCACTATCTCGGAAACATCGTTATCATTACTCCCTAGCGTGGCGAATCATTAACAGGGTTGGTACTAAATTTGGAAAATAAAATTCTCTGACTTTTCTAGTTTTCCAGACTGATATTATACTTTTTCCAGGTATACCGTAAGTCAATATCAACTAATCAAAATCAATAAATATTAGAACAAATGTAAATATATAACTTATATTTAATCACTCCCATACAAAACTTATTTCAAACTATATACATATTGATTCCTCTTCCGTACCGATAACTATCTATATAAAAATGTGCATCAGTGCTTATGTCGTTCTTTTTGCTGTTACATTAGTCATCACCCTGACAAAAACATATTGAGCAAAATGTAGCATATCTGTAAAAAGGTATTCTTTCAGGAGAAATTCCAGATTTTTTTCATAATTCCCTGACTTTTCCAGACCAACAAAATTCCCAGACTTTTCCACGTTTTCCCTGACCGTAACAACCCTGATTAATTTTAGAAAACAACTCGTTGTTATTACAATGCAGCGGCCCCTTTTTGCTTGTAGTCCTAGGCTGCGGCCTGGTGGTAAGTCTGGCCATTGAGTATTATACATCTCTGCAATTATAATCAATGGTCTAGCCCTGGTCCTACTTCTATCTCGCGATTGCAAGAAAATCCTCAACATTACTGTGAGCACCAAGATATTAAATCATCACCTCCCCCGATTGCAGCAAAATCTTGAACATCGTCGCGAGCACCAAAACTTGTTGTCGTCATCCGTGACTGCGGCGAAATGATTGCATGACAACCAATAAAATGAAACCGTCATTTTTTACCAATCCTCAATTTCGGGGGTTTTTAAAAGACCAGTAAAACGACATCCAACCTTAAAAATAGTGTTAATTTGAACCCTGTTATAAAATGCACTAGGCCTACAATTTTTTTGATGGCAAAAAAGTAAATATATAAGTGTAATAATGTATAAGCCCCCCCCTTCTAAAAATTCCTGGATCCGCCTTTGGATAGATTCGTGGCTTGATGGGATAAAATGAAGTACGGTATAATACTTTTGATTGGACGATTCCTTGATATTTTAGTACCTGAATTATGTAAATTTAAAATAAATATGGTGTGTACTTCGTTTTTTTTGTTTTTTGTGAAATTGGCTGAATTCAATTTTCAATTGAATTTTCAGAAGCTTTGGAATGTAAGCATCGTGTAAAAGTTTTGAGTTGGTGTGCAAAAACTAGAATTTTGAGCAAAATTAACAATACAGAAATTTCTGCTGTGGTGGGTCACTGTAACTGGTGTATAATAATGACTGTGTCATTGGTCTGTACAATGTTTAAATAAGACTGTTCACAAAAAGGTAACATTTTTCCTCGATCTCCTATTAAAATTACTTTTCAAAATTGAAACATTTTTGCATTATTTAAGGTATTAGGGTTAGGTACCTAATCTATTTGTAATTTGCAAATATAGCTCCAATAATCCAAATCTAATGGAACCGTACCCCATTAGGATAATCTAGAATAGTCAAAAACTCAGGTTCAAGTTGATTTTTACAGGAATTCAAAGTATTTTATAGAATATAGGCTATACTTCATTTTCAGTAATGTATGCTTTTTTTATTAGGCCTAAATAAATAGCTTAGTGAACAAAAAGAGATTATTTTCGTAGAGTATATATTACACATAGGTAGGCCTACTATAAGTTATCTATTTAAGTTGTTGGTAGAAGTGTGTAAGCGGCTCAATTAGCGAGCCGAGCCAAGTCTGGTCAAAGAGCTCAAGTGATCGAGGATCAACTAAAGATATTGAGCTTGAGCCGAGCTTTTATCTATTGCGATAGCAGAACACGTCTGCAAAGATTTTGCTATTTCAAAATTCACACTTTCACCACAGCTATGTCTCAGACTATGCTAACAATTCCGTGACCGTGGAAGACAAAAAGGAAGCTAGTTTTACAGTTACCACAATGTATGACCTCAAAATACAAGCACAACCATAGGCGTAACTAGGATGACCCTAAGGGGGGGGGGGGGTTTCCCTCATATCAGTTCCAGTTACTGCAATTAAACTTATCGCCACCAGTGGGAGCCAGATAGAATAGGGCCATTCCATGGAAAATGAGCCTAGTAAGAAAAAACCAATTTATATAAATTTAATTGTTTTTTACTGTTTTTACTATCTAGACATGTTTAATTTTAAGAAATAAAAAAAAATTTTAGGAAAAATTTTTTTTCTTCTTATTATTTCAGTTTACAGATTAGGGAAATCAAGCGTTGGTAAGGGGGTAATTTTTTGTTGAAAGTTTGGCATCACTTTATCTGCTTATTAAAAGGGCACATGGAAGCTGGCTGTGTTTAACAGATAGAGAAGAATGTCAACTTAAGACCCATCTTGATTGTTTGTTTTCAGGTAAGTCTTATATATTAATTAGCATTTGTCCTAAATGATTAAGAGGTTTTATTGTCCCACCCGTGACAAAAAAAGAATAAAAAGTTAAATACTAATAACATACCATTTTTTGGTTATGCTTCTTTTGTGATGGTTGTAACAATTGGTATACAGCATAGCTGTTAGTAGTGTTACATTTTAAAATTTGCTGTATATTAAGTTGAAATTAATAGTCAATTTTCTGTCCCACCCGTGACACTTATTGTATGCTATTGGTTATCCACAACCTAGACTTAGGCCTAAAATGTCAGACAGTGTTTTTCTGTTCATGGCTAAATCATAATCACAGCCCATTATTTCTAGATTGTTTTAACATTTATTGTAATAATTAATCTAAAATATTTAAGATATATTTAGGCCTACTGTCCCACCTGTGACAGAAAAAGTTAGAGAAGTCAAATTCAAGTAACATAGCATTTTAGGTTATGTCTCAATTGCCATGGTTGTAACAATAAAAACTTCAACAAAGCCATTAAAATTATGTAAAATTAAAAAATTTGCTTTAAATATGGTTTTATTTACTAGTTATTATCTGTCCCACCCGTGACACTTTAGCCTACATTACGCTGGTAATTATCTACAGCCTAGATGTAGGCCTATAAGCTGAATTTTTAAGGCAGTGATTTATAGTTCATAGATTAACCTTTGTCACACCCCATTATTGCTTGACTGACTTTAACATTTATTCTAATATAAGCTATGTTTTTGATAATCTTCAGCCGAGCGGATGAGAAAGCTGCGGGAGAGAATGAAGAAGGACAAGAATAAGTATGAAGATTCATTATAGGCTATTTCTAAGTTTTGCAGTTCATCTGAAGTGTAACAAACCTTGTATAGAAAGTTTTCAAAATATAAACTATTTTTGTTGTCATTATTCATTGTTTTAGTTACTGTGTCCCACCCGTGACATTTTTTTGTCCCACCCGTGACAGCAGTTAAATTTAAATTTAAATTAATGTATTGAAGATAGAGATTTAATTTTGGAGATATTAAAATAAGGGTGTTTTAATCCATCCAAATAAAAATTACCATTCAGTTCTGTTTAGTATTTTCACAGAGTTTGGTACTTTTTTAGAATGATACATAGTGGCTCTTCCTTTTTCTGTCCCACCCGTGACAGGTTTTTAAAGTGTTACAACTCCCTTGTTAAGTAAGAAACAGCTCTAAAATAATCCACAGTATTTGTATAACTATTAGTGAATACAGCAATAAAGTTTTTGTTGAACTGTGCTTTATAACTTAGAATATATTGTCTTTAAAATGCAATTAAACACGTCTAACTGTCCCACCCGTGACGATGGAATGGCCCAATAGTAGGGGAAACTAAAAGTACAGTTTTAGATACTTTTAGACCTTGTCTGGAGCTTGCTTGGTAGGCTACCTTATTTTTTTTACTCTTGTAATATTTTTCATCCATTCATATAAAACCACATAGCCTACCTGAACCTTGAAGATTTTCACATTAGCAGAAAGCAAATCCTTCCTTTCCATTCCTTCCCTACGAGGCATGGCTCCAACAAGAAAAGCTGCTTCCACGTCCTTGAACGCAACAGCAACATCAGCAGTGGGGATAACCTCTGAAACCATAAGTTATATGTCATTTGGTGAGCTTTTGTATATAAAATGTTGGGATTGGTTGCACTAGAATTTTGTATGAAAAGGATTGAACATTGCCTTAACATAATAAGCCTATATAACTTAGCCTATATAACTAGACCATCTGTGCGACCACTCTATTTAGCAAAATGGCCCATGATTCTCTAATGCAAACTTCATATATAGGCTAACATAAACTACTCTACTTACTTGACTAATGATTATATTTTAAAGACCACTTTGAAGTGAAAGTAAATTGATTGTCACTATTATTGTAGGCCTAAAAGCTAGAAGGTAAAAACGTCAGCTGTGCAAAATTTTTCTATAAGCTTCAAAGTATCTTATGGATCTAAATTGTTTAAAAAATGCTTTAAACTGTTCCTTGACATCAACAATGCAACTTTGTTAGGCCTAAGTAACCTCGTTTGTCGGTGAGGCTTCCTTTTATTACTAAACCTACAAAACAGTTGGTGAAAGTAAACATCTGCTTTAACATTATAATTTATTTGCAAACATTTTAGATCCAAAAGTCTGAGATTGGACCCCTTAAAACCCTCTGGGGTGGAGCCCTTTGGACAGATCTGCACCAAACTTCACACAAACCATCCTTGAATAATGCTTAATAATGTCTGAAAGTTTCATTAAAATCTGTCGAGCGGTTTCTGAGCCCATAGGGTACATACATAATAGTTCCTCTTTAATAGATATAGATAGATATAATATATCAGCAATAACCACAAACGTTATAAAAAAATAGGATAGGGCCTAATTTAGGCCTATGAATATTTTTTACATTTTTTTTTAAGATTTGCGATTGTTTTATTAAATTTACAAAACAGTCAGCTGACTTCTGTTTGAATACAAATATAGCCTATGTTGTAGGGAATGGGCATACGGGAGGGACGATGGCTAAAGGTGTGGTGACGTCATATCTAGTGGCTTATGTCTTCTCTTGAGGCAACACGATTACCGTAACGGGACGATGTGATTCCAGCGGCGTTCGTGGCTTAGTTGATAGCGCATCGGACTAGTGTTCAGTAGGTCTCGGGTTCGAAACTTGTCATTGGCACTAACTTTTTGTTAAAGATTTTGCTTTATTTGATTTTTATCTTATATCTTTTATATATTATCAGCAAGTTTGGTTGGTTAGGTAGGTTATGACAGTTTAATTTTATAATTAAAAAGTTAACTTAAATTTTTCAACTTAGCGGTTCTAGCGGCGAACGCTGACACTATGTTAGCCATCATCCCTCCCGTGTGCCCCACCAATGTTGTAGGACTACATACTGTAGAACTCTTTTTATAACCCATTGTGAGGTTTCGTACTTTCTTTAGGCGAGAGGTAAAAATAATCCTGTTTGGTGTTTCAGTTCAGTTCAGTAGGCCTACACACAACCACTAAGTTAAGAATAGGAACAACTTTGCCAGTTTTAGGCATATTCATTAATCGGTGAGAGTGTAGGCCTTCTTAGCTTGTAACTTATTAGGATTATTATAAACAAAACTAGGCCTACATTTTTTCAACCTAGGTAAGTAACAAAAGCTAACTTAGGCTAAAGCCGCGTTTACACAAGGCCAGTAGAGCATGCAGGTTGCTTGTGTCTAATGTATTTCAAGTTACCAAAGGCAAGTAACTTGCCCGCCAACTGGCCTCGTGTAAACACGGCTTTAGGCTCTTAAGCTAGTCTATATATTTGCACACTAAATTTTGATCTCTAACTCAAGGTATTGAGACAAGATTTTACACGTACCTCTGACTAATGGCAAAGCACAGTCTGCTATTTCCATAACAACTCCTTCAAGCACACCCATCATGGGGGGAATATCCAGCAGGTGTAGAATGACAGGTTGGTTGGGTCCAAAGACATCTCCTTTGGCTAGTTGGTAAATTAGGGAGTAAGCAATTTGCCCTGCTGCTCCAGTTACGACCACTCTTATTGGTTGAGCCTAAAAAAATTAAGATTACTGAAGTAAAACAATGATCATCATGACATGAGACATGACACTGAAGGTCATTTTCATAATGGTAACTACTCACTTCCTTCTTAGCAATATCAATAATCTGGACCGAATTGATTGACACGGAGTCTTTGAACTGAAGCAGTGAGTTGTGTTGCGTGTTTTGTGATATTTAGAGATATAGTTAACTAAGTTACTCACCATTTTGTGTCTTTCGGTCTACACGACTATAACCTCAACCAATGGAATTTCAAGCGGTAGTGGGAAAGAAAGAATGACAGATGCAGACACTTCAAGAGACCGGGGAGTGAAGATCGTCTTTTCCAGCAACCAACCAGCTGATGGCACAAAAGCTAGAAAACAGTCTGTGACTCAGGTTGGCCAACACTGTTTGTTGAAATTGTCGAGTTTTGGCATAATGTTACCAGTAATAATTCTCATTACCGTATTTATTTTCGAACACCTCATTTTCTTGAACTGTAGCTTTTTTCATCAGGCTATATCGCTCTTTTGAATTGGAATTGGTTATTCATCAATGATAATAACCGGTAAATTTAACAGTGTTGAAAGTTGTCATAGCACTTGAATGAATCAATCTACTGTACTTTATTTATGGCACAGCTACGCTTAACGGAATTAAAAGTCATTTTAGTCTTATTTCTTTAATTTCTGTAATTTTTTGTCTAAATTGCCTTTAATTAATTAATTATAATTTTACGTAAAACTTTATAATTTACGTTGAACTTTGAATTATTATCTCTAAACTCGAGTAAGCGAGTAAACCCACAAAACACAAAATTATACACTATCAAGATCGCCATGCGCATAATATAAAATTCTCATACCATAAAATAAATTACTCACAACAAATTATATACATAGGCTAGGCAAAGGCAACGTTCCTTACTTAGAAAACAGAAAACTATTTTTTATTATAGTTCGAAGTTAATCTGTACGAGTGCAGCAGTAACCGAGATCGGCGTAAAGTTTCTAGTGTTCGCCAACAGATATCGCAACCACATACATAGACTAACTCTGTTATAGTATAGCATATACTATACAATTTTAGTATTATAGTACATTAGTATAAATAGTATAGTCAATGGTATTGTCGAAAAGAAAGCATTTATAATGTAATATAGTAATTAATCTTCGTGAGTTTACAAATTAAATTTTATTTGTATTCGTTCCTGATACTAATTTTGAGGATTTGTTAGTACCGTAACATGATTATATTACATGATGTCAGCTAATATCCATATAGGTATTTTTATAATATTCCCTTTTTAAACTTTGTCGACTTGAAAACTAATTTATCTGCAATTTTTTTTTACGAATCAAATCTAGAGGACACATAATACACGATGTAATTAGTAATTTTATAACTATTCATTAAACTTCCCGACAGTTTTATGTTAGTATAGATAGACTTAGTCAAAATGTCGACAATGTATAATTTGCCATTTTATCAATTCCAAGAGCTTTTATCATGCTAGCTTTAATTAATACACCAGAATCTACCGAGATGTTTGTTGAACTGGTAAAACCCTGGACACTTTTTTGTTTTAATTGAGATGAGAATAACTTACTTTTGATTAAGAAATCTTTAAAACTTGTTTATTGAACTTTAAACATTACTGTACTTTTTCCAATTACTCGTCCAATTGCTTTATCTTTATGTGCTACTTAAATCTGTAAGCCAACCCGTATCAGTTATATGATGGTAGCAAGTCGGGTATTTTTTATTTTAACCGTTCAGTGATCTCGAATTAAATATCTTATGAATTTATGTAATTGAAATGTGCATTTATTACTTTAGAATCTTCACAATAGATTACTCATCATACGATTCATAACTGTTCTAACTACGCACAATAGCAAAGGCTCCTGATAAACATAATATTTCCCTAGTCTGCGATATGATGTTCCCCCAAACTATAATATAGGTAATAGGTTAACACGAACTACAAACTTTAGAATAGTTGGCTGTCCAAACTACAAAAAATAATAAGATGTCTGCCCAAACCAATGAATTTTGTACAATTGTTAAATTTTCAAACTTCAAATTATGCAATAGGCGTTTGTCTAAACTCTGTTCAAATTATGAACTACAATACTTTCAGCCGAATTACAAGCCATAACAAAATTGGCGACTTTCCAAACTACAAACAATACAGTATTTACCAATCAGCTATAACGATTTAGTTGTGTCAGGCCCACACACAGTTTATTACTATCTTTGATTTGTTTGGTCTTAAGCTTCACTGTATCACCATCATTATCGTTTTGCATCAGTCACCATGTATGTTCGTATCCTAATATAGTTGAGTTCGTTGACCTCCCGAAAGAGAAGTCTGTGACTCATTAATTTCATAGTTTTCCTTACTTTTAAAACGCAAGCCAGTTTTCCAAATGAACCCAACAATGTGATGTTTTGTTCTATTTAAAATGTGTCCACAATGATAAGAGATGAAGTACAAAATAAAATATTGATTTTCTGTTTTAAAATACAAAATTATAATCATGTTTTTAAGGGAATCAACGACCCCTTATAGCGAAGAGTTATTGTAGAGAAGCAAAAATGTAGCATAAGCTAGTATTACCGCTTCTAACAATCGGGTTTTAAACATCGGGAAAACAAATTAGCGTATGCAATTTGGGGTTTCAGCTATGTATCTTTAATCATGTTTTAATAGGTCAAAGGAATACAAATTAAAATACCTATTTCTGGCTACCTTAAATAACACGTTGCGTTTGCTCTGGAATTACGGATTCGATTTTACATGTGTAAAACCTCGATAACAAGGTGCTCATAGGGATTATTAAATACTTACATAAAGATTGACTTCTTATCGAGGTTTGCAATAACATGTGACTAGGGGTAAAATAAATCCATCGGGATTTAAAAAAAGACCCTTGTTATCGAGGGTCTTGCTATCGAGGTTCCATTAGTAGCTTTAAAACATTCTATTTCAATTAAAAACCCATCCCATGTAGCACGTCGCAACTCTTCCACTTCTGTGCTGTATTTTATTACTTTACATGACGTGCGTCAATCATATTTTCCTGTACAAGTACAATGTAAACTCAATCGTGTTCCGTATCCTCTTTTTCGAATACATACGTTAGGTATCGCGAAACATGACGTATTGTCCTGTACCGTATGAGTTATGTATAGTTTCGTTTCGTGACAAAGATATTCTCCTGTACCGCATGAGGTTGTAAATGTTTCGTGATTATGACAAAATCTCCTGTACCACATGTACTGCTATTTTATGATGAATCGTGACACTAACGTATTATCCTTTACCGCTTACGAGCAGTGGCGTTTTCAGGGAGGGGACCAATGGGGCCGCCCCCCACGAAATTTATTGATACATTTATTAGGGATTTGTTGTCTAGAAACCAATACTCGACACCACCGATACTTATACGTTGGTAGGCCTATCAGTATCGAGAATCAATCGTCAAAAGTGCATTCCGATGCATCAGACCCTTTTGTGAAGATCGCGCGATCGGAAAATAAGTTACGAGGTTTCTCTGTTGAGTTTCGTGACACACGCCGTATTCTGTACCACACACTTGGTTGCTCTATGTACCATTCTGTCATGCTCCATCGCCTTCCCTATACTGTATTGTATCGTGACATGACCTATTCCCCCGTATCCCGTTTCCCCCAAGTAGCCCAACACAAGACGTGTACTCTATGTTGTAGCTGTAGCGCCGCCATGTGACGCTGATAACACTATCACAGTCTCGCTCAGTCATGCCGAGCTGACAGTGAGCGAATGATGTTTGAGAATGTGGTTCCTAGCCGTGCTGGACGTTCTGCTCTCCAGTCTGGTGGTGGGTCCGTGTGTCGTCGGCTTCTGGCGGGGGACATGGGAGTTCATGGAGGCATACCGGGAGTCCTTCCCGCTCTGGTGGACCCTGTGGGTGTCCGGGGCTCTCCACCTGGTCTTCGCTCTCCTGCGGGAAGCTTTTGTGGAGTATTTCCAACACACCGGGCTGAAGTACACTCTGGCTTCTCGCTGCTACATCTACGTGTTCGCCGTGTGCTGCGCCATGCAGTGGCGCTCCACCTGGGCCCTCCTGGAGGACTGTACCGCCTGCGAGGACGTCCCTAACCTTCTCTTGTGGACTGTACCTTCCACTGTGGTTCTGTTCGTGTTTCGCCTCTTCGGCAACACATTGGCACCTCCCTTCTGCATCGCGTTGGACTTCAAGGCCGAGGATGTCTTCGTGTTTCCGACCATGTTCAATATCTCGGTGAGTGAATTACTTGCTCTTCTTTGCTAGTTTGCATCGAATAGTTTTAATGCACGATTGTGAATAAGGGGCTCAAAGAATCAAATTACATCCTAAGATTGAAAATAGCAAATAAAGTAGTTTTTTTTATTTGTTTTAAGACTGCATGCATACTCATAGTAGTTTTATAGTCCCAAGGTTTATAGTAAGTAAAATGTTTAAATTAACCACCAATAGTTAACTGCACACTTATAAGACCAGTGACGAAGACAGGGTGGGGTCCTGGGGGGTCTGGACCCCCCCTTCCAATCTTAAATATAATATTTTTTGGTTAAATTCAATGTAAAATTATATAATCATACTGTATTGACGTTGGGGTTGATTTTTTTCAATGCCTAGAGAGCTAAAAAAAATACCGTTTTAGGGCCTATATTTTTAAAATTTTTCTCGGACCCCCCTTTTACCTAGGCCCCCCCAGTCGGTCGACACCCCCTATTTTGAAATCCTGGCTACGTCACTGATAAGACAATACGTTAGACCTATGTACCGGTATTGTAATATTCGACACAGAAATAAATACATTAACATGTTTGTAAACATGACAGTTAAGAATTTAGTCCCCAAGTGGACAAGTATGCATAAACATATTCCTATGAAGTACAATGAGCTTCAGGATAGCCTAATAATCTTAAACCAGTATGAAAATGTTCTAAAAACAGTATTTACCAGGGAAAGTATTGAACAAATTGTATTATGAACCAAAAGCTGACAACTGTAATATTCTTTGAGATAATCCTTTGTTGTGTTTCGTATTAGTTGTTCGTTTTGAATTCAGTGCTTGTTTTTGCTGATACACCTCATTAGTTAGCAATCAAAAATAATAAGAAAAACACACACTCCTCTTACTATAATAACGTTTCATATACTGTAATACTTTCCAGTAATATAACATCAGAGTTGCAATGTGATGTTACAATACACTTTTGATCGAAATCAACGAAGTATAAAATTTCCAACGTGACTGAGTAGCATTTCACGAAATTCTAAAATAAATCACACTTTTTGACACAAAACTGGTAATTTTCATAAAACAATATACTTATGTTGAGATTTAACCAGCCAAATACACATTCACAATTTGTAATTAAATTACATGTTTCGCGGATTCAACCACTCATGTTTGAAACTAGTTTATTGTTAACAGATATTAAATCTACAACATTCTGAGAAAATATCTCTCAACCACTGTGAAATCACAGTTATGCATTGCGTTTGGACTGATCTCCAACACGAGTACATCTCTTGTATATAGAGTATGTATATGTCTAGTGCGCGGAGAACGAGTGCTATCCACGAGTTATTTCCGTACCGTATTAGAAGGTTTTAATTGGCGAAGTTTAATTCTGTGATTTGCAACCACACGTGGAGGAAATAGTGTTTACCTTTCTATAAATAAACAATCTAAAGTCGTACATTTCACTCTATACTGAGTGGTTAATTTACCTCGAGTGTTCTAAGCTTAAGTTATTTCTTTGCGACAAAAATGTTTGAATAATTTGGTTCAGTTGAGTAAGCCAATGAAGAACAGATAAACAATCGAAATATCTAGTTAAAAAGGGTCTCTTCTATCGTATGATTGTTTGATTGTTTGTTTGGTGTGTATATATAAATCGGTTTTAATGTTTAAAGCTATTGCAGAAAAGGGAAACACTTTAAAAAATGCGGTTTAAAACCATTCTCCTGCATTCTTCCCTAGCTTGTTTCCTTACTTCTAATAAACACATTTGGAGCGAATGTAGAATTGAGAAGTGCTCTGAAACAAGTCTAGTTCGAAAACCTTCTCTCACATTTGTTTTATGTTTTCACCTCCTCCCTTTTGACAAACAGTCCTAAATCTTTTTCGCCAACTGCAGCAAATGCAGCTAATTTTAACACGCGTTGCGGGTCTAGGTCTATATAGTTCGGCCGCTTAGAAAACGACCTGCGCGCTAATGCTAAACCAATGCTGGAGGAGGTCGCTTTCTAAGCGGCCGAACTATAGTTATTTTACTCGCTAACTAGGTTCTAAAAGTCAGCTGCTGTAAACTTCGATTTTAAGCAACCGCAGGACGTTACTTTCCTGTTAAAGGGAACATTCATTATTATCGATGATTTATTTTCGATATATCGATATTTTTGTTTTCCATCCGATATATTGATAGTAACAAATTGAAACATATCAGCTGCCAAGTACGATATAGGATACAGTAAATAAATATTGTTCAGTATCAACAAACAATAAAAAAAATTATATTGAAATGAAACTGTTCTAAACTAACCTAACCAACCAAACTTGCTGTAACATTTCAAAATTCCGTTTGATATCCTATTCCCCATATGCCTTTTCTGTTACCAAATGGAATTTTGAAACGGTAACTTAGCCTATACAGCAGGTTTGGTTAGTTATGTTAGGTTAGTTTAGAATATTTTCATGTCCTAATCCAATATATTGGCTATTATTTTTGCCTAAGCAAGGTTAGTTAATTTGTAATTTAAATGCGTTTGAAGATATTAAAACAGAAGGAATACCAATCGTGAAGTAAAACAAAAATATCGATATATCGAAAATAAATCATCGATAATAATGAATGTTCCCTTTAACAGGAAAGTACCCAACCGCACGTATCGATTGTTTACATCGTCGTAGATTATTGTTGCATTCTTGTCAATAGTTAGTTAGACATATCGCTAGTATAATGTACTAACACAATCGTAATGGACGAAATGATTCAATCACTAACTAAACAACTGCTTATTTGTAATAACAAAATTGAAAACAAGTTGAAAGTCGTTGAGTCGTTGTTATCTTTACTTGAAGAGTATTTCAGTTTTCTAGCTTGGTTTGTTGAATAATTGTATGACAAAAATATAGTTCGTTGCAATATTCATTTTCCTACAATCACCCGATAAAGTGGGCTTCCTTGCACAGATTATAGTATAGTAAGACTTACTTTGGTGCACAGTTTTTACTTTGGCGCACACCAGTATTCAAACCAAACAACAGACAACAGAAAACAGCATGCTTTTAGCGAATTTCCCTATAGGGAAGTAGCTATTACCGTAGGTCTCATGGTAAGACCTAAGCCCGGGACCGATTTACTTTTTCATTTTGATGTCCCCAGAGGCCAAAAACACCATTCGTTCAAATTTTTATATATCTACTAGCTGACCCGGCGAACTTCGTATCGCCTAAGTTATAGGTTTCCCCTAAGACAGACCGATGGAAAGAAAGTACCGTTACGTTTAATTTTCAAGATGATCTCGTTCGCATCGCTCAATCACGTCCTGGTTGAAGTTCGTTCGCTACGCTCACTCACCTTTGGGTTGGAGCTCGTTCGCTACGCTCACTCGCCTCTCTCGTTCGCATCGCTCAATCACGTCCTGGTTGAAGTTCGTTCGCTACGCTCACTCACCTTTGGGTTGGAGCTCGTTCGCTACGCTCACTCACCTTTAGGTTGGAGCTCGTTCGCTGCGCTCACTTGCCTTCAGGTTAGCTCGTTCGCTACGCTCACTCGCCTCCAGGTTGAAGCTCGTTCGCTACGCTCACTCACCTTTTGGTTGCAAATTAGCTGTTGTCATAAATGTAAAAGAAATAATAGTGCTGCACCCTGTTGGTAATCCTTGTAACTTTAATGCTATTGAACATCATAGAACAGAACCAACTTGTTTAATTGACACAGCTGTTAAGTTTCATTAATTCCATTTCTCATAAGGTTAACATGGGAAACTCCAGAGCCACTGGGGCGGAGCCCTTTTAAGAATTTCGAAACGGGAAATAGTTTACATCCGATTCGCATACCTACAGAATTTACACACCAAATTTCATAACGATCGGTGAAGTCGTTCCGGAGGAGTTTGCAGACAAACACTGTGACACGAGAATTTTATATATTAGAAGATATATAGAGAGATATATATATGTGTCCATCCGCACGATAACTTGAGTAATTTTTGTTCGATTTTGATAAAATTTTGTTTGAAGGTGTAAGGTGAGATAAACTTGAATGAGTTCGCGAACCAGCATGATCGGACTATGGGAACGGGGGTTTATGGGGGGTTTTATGGGGTAAAAATAGGTTTTTCCCATTTTTTACCCTAAAAACACGAAATTTCACAATTTCTTTTTAAACCATTTTGTAGAGCTTAAAAAAACAAATAATTTAGTATATTGAAGTGTTATTATGCGCCTATTTGTTACGGAGAAAATTCAAAAAAATTGTAATTTTGAAATTCCCATGTTATTCTTATGGATAATAAGTCAACCGTTGTAGTTTGCTTACTATGAACATATTTTGATCGATTTTGGAAAATACTTTTATTTCTTACTAAACTATTATTAATTTAAAAAAAATCTTTTTTATCCTCCCTGTTGCAGCAAACCTAAGTACTCGTTAAACTTATTCTATTTAAATAGGAAATAAATGTGATATTTTTATGGAGGAATTTTAGTGTAAATCCAATCAGGTTAATGGAAATTCGCTTAGTCTGCAGGTTTGCTGCGGCGGGGGTATTTATTATGCACGTAATCCGTGTACGCTTGGAAATAGGTTGGCAACACAGATATTACTACTACGATCAGCTGGTGCAGCGTTTCCCATTTCGTTCAATCGGGTTCAATTTTTGAATTTAACCTAACCTAAAAACGTGTTTTACATTGTAACACGTGTGCAAACTGCCTTTGCTGCACTCGAGAAACGTTCCGTGTGCAACTTCGCCTACTCGTTACACAAATCGGTCGTGAAACACGAGCTCGGGTTGAAAAGAGGCACTTTGCGCCCTAGTGATGAAATATACATTTTTTTGTGGAATCAATCATAAAAAATACTCTGATAAAATCAGTTCAAAAAGCTCGTCTTGTATTGTTTTCTTGCTTGTATTTTCTTACTATTGAAAATAATTGTCTAAAACCAAATTGACTAAATTGGTCAAATTGTAATAAGACAAAAATACTTGGAAAGAAACATAGTTTGAAAACATATTCT